GCACGCGCGCCGCCCGCGCCACCGTGACTTTCACGTCACACCGGGGCCACACACCGCATGCACATGTCCGGCGCGCTCATGGGGCTGACGCCTCTTCGCACGCTCTCAACTATGTACCTTACGCACACACACACGACACACAAGGGGGAAGGGGGACACATTTACCCCAGGGGATGGGATCTTGTGCGAGAGTATGAAAATATGGATATATGTAGAGGGTCGAGCCCGCGCCGCCGGGCCGCGCGCGACATCGCCGCATTTCCTTTTCCATTTCGCATTTGAGATTTGTATCGATCCGTTTTGTCGTAGGTTCTCCACACCGTCTGCGGACTGCGCGCGTCTCTCAGCGGTGCCCACGCACATGGAGGGGGTGGGGATGCGGGCGAGAGGAGGGAAGAGGGGCGGAGCAGGGGGAGGGGATGGGGTTGGGGCCCAGGGAAGCTCGCCACGCTCGGCCGCCCTCAAGCTGCAGAACCCAGAACACATGTGTGCGAACCAGATACCGTGCGATCCGTGTCCGGGCGTGGAGATGCGAGGGTCGCCCCCCCTTGCCCCACCACTTTGTGTGTGTGGAGACGTTTACCTTACCTTACCTTACCAGATACCAGTGCCTACGACGTTCAAGGAGTGTCAGGCGCGGAGCGCCGCGCGCGGAGCGCGCCCTGAAGAAAATTTTGAGGGTTGTGGAGGGCTAGATGCGATTTCTTCTTTTCAGAGTTTGACTCACACGCTAGGAACCACTCGGCCAGCCCACTGGCCCAATCTCAAGTGGCGGCGCTCCGCGCCTACCCAGCGGCGCGCTCCGCGCGTGCTACCGTGCTTGTTCCAGCGGCGCGCTCCGCGCGTGCTCTGTGGAGTACTACTGCATCTTCCGCAGCTCCAGCAGGTATCAGCAGTGTGAGTTCACCGCCAGTTATCTGCGCCTCCGTTCGTCGCTCTCGTGCTTGATCGTCAGGCCGTGGCTGCTCTCACGTCCGCCGGAGCTTCCTCGGCTATCGGCACCATTTTACAAGTTTGACCCGCCGACATGTCGCGGTCCGGCTTAATCAAGGCAATGTCGCTCGGCGCTCGCTGGCTCCGTGGATGCTTGTGCTGCTGAGCAATCCAGGCGCACTTTGGCACCCGGCGGCAACGACTTGCGGCGTCAGCTTCGAACGGTTGTGTTGATTTGCTCTTGCTCCGCGGTATCTAGCCGGCGCGCTCCGCGCAAGACGCAAGTGTCTAGCTAGCGCGCTCCGCGCGTGCGTCCAGCTAGCGCGCTCCGCGCGTGTGTCTGGGTAGCACCAGCGCGCTCCGCGCGCACGATAATCCAGTGCCTTCGCTTGAAGGCACTAAAAGCTCGTTTCTGCAGCTTGGTCGGCCGCGGCCTTGCATGGCGGCCGCGGTCGCCCCGCCAGGAGCGGGGAGCCTCCTGGGCGCTGGGGGGACGACCCAACCCGCAACCGCGGCCAACCGGGTCTTGGCGTCTTCCCCATCGACGACGGTGGGCCGGTCTCCTTGCAGCTCGGCTGAGCTGCATCGTCGTCGATGGGTCCACGTGGCCACAAGGTGTGGGATGACAAGGTTTGTAAGGGGAGTGTGAAGCTGTGAACGGATATGGGGGTAAAAACATACGTCAAAACACAAAACCCTCCCCCACCGAGAGGTGTCACAGCTCACAGTACACCTTAGGGTACCCCTAGGATTCCGAGGGCCGGATTTTTTAGAGTTTTTTTTTAAGGTGCCTCATGCCAGTTTCGGGGGGCAAACCCTGCCCGGCCCCTAGAGCCCCAGGTAAGGTCCAGGTGTGGCCTAGGGCATCAGAAGGGACCAAGAGGAGTCCAGTCTGAGCCATAGAGCCCATGCCTTTGCCCCCGAAGGTCGCGTTCAAACGCCCGGAACGACCGTTACAGTGGTGTCCGGCCGGCGCGATCACCGTGAGCTGTGACGCTCAGGGAAGCCCGATGAGGTGCTGGTTTCTTTGGCCAGGGCTGGCCTTCCCCTCAGGCTGGTGTGGATCAGCTGAGCAAGGTTTGGGGAGAATCCTATATTGGGATCTTCAGATATTTTGACGGATGACCGAAAATGGGCAAAAACGGGGTGATTTTGGTCAACAGTACCTGAACAGTACCAACAGTAACAGCATGGGCTGGGGCGAACACTTGAACAACGTTCAGGATTTCAGCCAACACTAGCGCAACTATTAAGCCCAAAGGAGCGGCCGCA